CTGTGATTGGCCATTAATTAGAAACAACCACATGAGACCAATCCCAGATGCACCTGTTGCATTCCACAGCAGCAGATAACCATTGTTTACATTTTGTTCCTGAGGCCTCCCAGCTTCTCAGGAGGAAAAATCCTAAGAAAAGGATTTTTCATAAAAGATGTCTGTGACACTCACCCATTTTATCAGGAGAAGAGTCAGGGCCAGCAGCAGAGAAGGACCAAAGCCAGCTGTGGTCTGAGATCACAGCTCAGGCTCCTCTCTCCCTCTCTGCTCCCAGCACTTGTCATGCTTTGCTCCTGTTAAACACAACCCCACACCTGCTTTGCAGGGAGATTTACATTAAAAATTATGATGTGCTTAGACAGAGTCATTAAGGAGGGATCAGAGGAATGTGTAAGATAAGCACAGACATCTGTTCTCCAAAAATGCTGCCTTCCCTGTGTGCTCTGCTGGTGCTGGAAATATTGATCAGAATTCAGCCCACAAACACACACTCCTGCAGAAAGCTGAAGTGTAAGCCAAAGATCACGTATCATGCTTGTTTTCTTGGATTTGGGAACTGCCCAAAATGAAGGAGAAAGTAAAGGAAGTTGGTATTATTTGCTGAGGAGAAAGTTATCCGTCCTTATGAGGAGGGAAGGATTGGTTTATCCTGGAGCTGAAACGAAACAGGGCTTTGCAAGGGTTCTCTATATTTGGATTTCTGTTTTTTGTGTATTTCCCCACAACCCCAAATCAAACCATCCTCTTTTCAACCCCTTGGCACAGGAGAGAGGTCTGAGATTTGGCATTCCTGTCAGGCTGATGGAAAGGGGGGACATTCTGCTCCCCATTTTCTATGGACACCAGGGAACAATCTGCAGTGAGCCCAGCCAGGGAGGGCTAACGCACAGACAGAGGCCCATGGGCACCATAATGCCACAGCTGGGGACATTCTATTGTCAGGCTGCAGGACAGGGAGCAGAGCTGTCCTTTCAGTCTGGTGTCTCCTTTTTTCCCATTCTGTAGTTTCCATTTCAAACAGCAAAAATTCCTGAATCCCTCCTGGGAGGGTCAGCACGAAACCCTGTGATCCCTCCTACTGCAGGTTGGACACCTCTGTTTGTTTTTTCATCTCCTGTTGGGAGACAATGAATTGTTCTGCAGTGGAGATGAAGCTTTGTGACCTCCTAGATGTGTTTTGAGTCCTGTGACTCCAAATGTCAGGCCAGGAGTAAGTGGAAGGGTTTTGCAGTAGTGTTTTTAAAGGGGAGTCCCTTGAGTGATCTCAAGGGTGATGTATGAAGTGATGTGTGAAAGCACTGCTCAGGAGAAGTCAGATATTTGGTCCCCTTCACTGTTTGGTCCCTTGTGAGAGAGACAAAGCTTCTCTGAGGCATAAAACACACTGCTTGTTGGAAAAAAAAAACAAGCACTGGCTGAAAGGAAATGAAATGTTGGCTGAAATGTTTCTGTAGTAAGTGGTGATCTACCTCCCACGTTAAGGAGCACAGCATGGAAAATGGTAAAAGCTGCTGTATCAAGCCATAAACTCTGAAAATGGGTCAGTTTAGCCCATTTAATCTGCCCTTTTTGGCATTTGGCTTTCAGAGAGCAGAAGTGGGCTCCAGTTGAAGCAGAGCACTGGTGCTGTGTGGTTGTGTTCTCTGCTGCTGGATGTGAGTGAGCCCTGGGCCATAGCAGGGCTCAGTGAGGAGGCCCAGCAGTGCACAGGGCTCTCTCTGAAGGGCAGAATTGGCTGCAGGATTTCTCCAGCACCTTTTAATCCTTTCAGCATCACTGCAGAGCCCTGAGAGCCACTCGTGAGCCCTGCTGGGTTTTGTCTTTTCCCAGGCATGCAGCGCTGTAATTGCAGCAGTGGGGAGAGCAGGGCTGGAATCAGGGGTGACTTTGATGAGCAGGCTCTGAAGTGCTTGTGGGGGATGATGAAATGGATTTTTGGACCCACTCCAGCCAGCAGTTGGTCTCCACTGCTTCAGTATTAGCAGAGATTTAAGCTCCACGCAGGAGGTGACTGCTCACATCAGAGAGGAATTTGGTCAAACAAGCTCCTTGGGAAGGGGGGAAGGTGCTCTGCTTGAACCAGGAGGGTTTGAAAGGGGCTTTGTTCCTCCTTCAGAGGCAGAACGTGGCCTGGTTTTGCAGGAAGGCGGCACTGGGTGGAAGAGGTTTGCAGGATTGGGTGTGCAGGGATTGTCATGGCAACCAGAGGGAAACCCCACGAGGTGGGAGCCAGCCAGGCACAGGTGAGGGGAAGCAGGAAACCTGTTTGGAGAGGATAAAGCTGCTCCCAGCAATGCTGGCTCCAGGAGGAAAGCAATGAGGATAATTGAGTGTTTTAAGCAGCTTCCAGAACCGTCTGAGCACAGCAAGTAGAAACAATTTCCTACAACAGCCCCTCTGAAATACTCAACCACCTCAGATTCTCCCAGTTCTCCTCCACAGATGTTGATCTCTCTGTAACTCTGCTGCCAAGACAGAGGGAAGCTTTTAGGAGGAGCTTCAGTGGTGTTTTAAGCAAGTTTGGGAGGGGTTTTAATCCTGGTTCAGAATAGGGGGTGGCTGTATGGGGACAGCATTCCAAAGGGACTGGGGGGATAGAAAAGGCTCTTGAGGGATCCAAAGGCTCTTGGGAGGTTCAAAGGCTTTTGGGGGATCCACAGGGGAATGTTGGGTGATGAGAGGGTGTGTGCAGCCCAGAGTTTGTGGGAACAAATGGAAGGGTGGATTTTGGAGCCAGCTCCTGCCTCAGCAGCCATGAGGCTGCAGCAGCAGTGAGTCCTTCCCTGCTCAGTGACACTCAGTGACTTTTTGGGCTCTGGAAAGGATTTAAAAGTGAAAAGAGAAGTGGTTTTGTCTTTTCCCAGGCATGCAGCACAGTAATTGCAGCAGTGGGGAGAGCAGGGCTCGAATCAAGGGTGACTTTGATGAGCAGGCTCTGAAGTGCTCGTGGGGGATGATGGAATGGAGGTCAGGAAATGAGGTTAGGGGGCAGACTGATGCCTGCTCCCCAGGAATGGATTTTCAGGGATGTGCTGAAGAATTCAGCTTCTATTTCCCCCCAGCCAAAGGCAGGAGTGGAGATGGAAGAGCTGGTGATGCCTCTTCCCTCCCAACATCCCCTAAATGTCAGCAATTTGCATTTCCCCTCTGAGTGACTCCAAGGCTGAGGGTGTAGGTGATAACCAAGGAGCAGCTGAGGAGCTGTGGGAGGCAGGAATGTGATCCCAGGCTGGGAGGGAGCTGCCTTACCCCATTGCAAGGCTGATGAGCCTTTGGAGGGAGCTGCTGGATAACTACATGGAGGGAGCAGGGTAATGTCCCACGACAGCACACTGTAAATGGTGATTTCTGTGCGCTGTGCATTCTGCAGAGCAGCAGCTCTGCCTAAATGAAGGTTTATGCAAAGCCCCTCTCAGCAGTGGATGCACCATTAGGCTCCAGGGTGGCTGCTTAAATTGCACTATTGATTTAATGTGCAGGAATATTTCCTAGTGCACTGGAGAGCTGCAGCTAATGACTTCTGCCTTCCTCAGATTTTAGTGTGGCACACAAGGACAGAGAAGCCTGTGCTGGTGAACGAGGGCAAGAAAGGATTCACAGATCCCAATGTGGAAATCTGAGTGTGCATGGCTGAGCAGAGACCAACTGCAGGTAAGAGCTGCTTCTCACAGCACTGAGAAGCTACACAAGGGCAGGAGAAAAGAGAAAAGCTCTTCTAAATGCGCTTTTTCATTTCCATTTTTCACAACCCTGACCTTCCTTTACACTAAACCTCTCAAGACCATTTGTTAATCTCTCTTTTTTAAAGTTAATCCATTTTTAAGACAAAATACCTGCTGAGAGATTGAGGAGAAGAAAAATGCAGGGAGTAGGAGTTTAGGCAGAAGTTGCAGCATTAGGAAAAACCCTTGTGTAAACAAGGTTGCCTTATTAACTTTAATAAAGCACAGGGGTGAAGGGTGTGGGTTCATCCACCTGCAAACACGTGAGGGAAGATAAAGCAGTAGCAGCAAAAAGATTTTTGGTCAGGCAAAAGCTTTCACTGAGGGAAATATTTAATTCAGGCCCACACTGAAGGCACAGAGAGGCAGTGATGAGTAGGAAGGTGTGGATTGAGCCCTGCCTGAGGTGTTTGTGCACCTGAGGAGAGCATGGGGTGTATTTTCCATTAGAAAGGAGGAAAGAGCACACACATTGATGTTTGTTCACGCCCTGGGTGTTCCTGCAGCTGGTTTGCAGGAGGATGAGCTGTTCACTTGTATCTGCAGCCTGTGGAGCTGCCCTTCATTCTTCTGGGCAATAAAATAAATGCACAAACTCCCTTTCACTGGAGTGTAGAACCAGGCCTGGAGGGAGAGGAGGCTCCTGCTCTTGAGTCCTGAGTAGCAAGAGCACAAAGGGGGCAGATTTGCTCAGCAGGGGTGAATTTTTACCTGCAATGAGCTCCCTTATGTGCCATTCCCTGGGGGAAGCAGGATGGAGCCCTGGCTGCTGCTCTGTGCCCTTGGCAGGGCAGGAGAGGCTGCACCAGCTCCTCTGGGCCAGGGAGAGGCTGTGCTGGGGGCTGGGGCTCTGCAGGGCTGCTCCCCCTGCCCAGGCAGCAAATTTTGGGATCTGCACTGGGACGGGGCTTTGAGATGGCCCTGCAGTGAGGGACAGGGCTTTGGGATGGTTGTGCAGAGGGATAGGGCTTTGGGATTGCCCTGAAGAGTGGCACAGAGGCTTGGGGTGGCTCTGCAGTGAGGGACAGGGCTATGAGATGGCCCTGAAGAGTGGGACAGGGCTATGGGATGGCTCTACAATGAGAAACAGGGGTTTGGGATGGCTCTGCAGTGACTGACAGGGCTTTGGGATGGCCCTGAATAGTGACACAGAGCTTTGGGGTGGTTCTGCAGTGAGAATCAGGGGTTTGGGATAACTCTGCAGTGGCACAGAGCTTTGGGCTGGCCCTGAAGAGTGGGACAGGGCTATGGGATGATCCTGCAGTAGGACAGGGCTTTGGGATGGCTCTGCAGTGGCTCAGGGGTTTGGGATGGCTCTGCAGCAAGGGACAGGGCTATGGGGTGGCCCTGAAGAGTGGGACAGGGCTTTGGGATGGTTGTGCAGAGGGATAGGGCTTTGGGATTGCCCTGAAGAATGGCACAGAGCTTTGGGATGGCCCTGCAGTGTGGGACAGGGCTTTGGGATGTCTCTGAAGAGTGGTTCAGGGCTTTGGGATGGCTCTGCAGTGGCACAGAGCTTTGCAATGCCCCTGCAGTGGCACAGGGGTGCTACCCACGGTGTTTGTGTCTCTTGCAGAAGATTTCTTCCTGCACAGCCTGCCAGGTTCCTCTCCACAGCACCCACCCAGCCAGCCAGGCGGGAGCCAGGAGCTCTGCTGACTCCCACGAGTTTGAGCCTTCAGAAAAACCAAGCACCACTGCATACATGACGTCCCCGGATCCCCTGCCCCTCCTCCCGGGCTCCGGAGGTGGAGAACAAAGCACAGCAAGGCAGGACTGGCAGCTGCCGGCCCCAGGCTCGGCTGCAACGTGAGCAGGGCTGTGCCAGCACCTGGCTGAGGGGGAGAGCCACAGCAGTGGCCCCTGGGGACTGGTTTTGCTGAGCAACACGAACTTTGTGGCCGTGTGTGAGACAGCCTGAGCAGCTCTCTGGCCGTGGAGGGGACAGCTGCCTTCCTAGATGGCACCTTAGCCCTTAATTTTAAACCTCCTTTAATCAGTGTTTGTTACGCTGCACAAGAGGGGAAGGGTTTGGGGAGGGGGGAAACGAGGCAGGTTAGAACAAACCCTTGAAGCATCACTGTTCTCTGATTCCCTCTCCTTTTCCTTCCTCAAACAGTTTGGGGGGCACCCTGATGTTCCTGTGTGTGGTCATGGAATCATGGAAGGGACTTTAAAAGTCCTCTGGTCCAAGGCTGCTCCTTCACCTGGACCAGGTTGCTCCTGGCCTGGAACATTCCAGGGATGGGGCATCCCCACCCCTCTGGGCACCTGTGCCAGTGTGGCACCACCCTCACTGTAAAAAATGTCCTTATTATCCTCTTTGAGTTTAAAACCATCAACCCCTGTCCTAGCCCTGCTAAAAGGTTTGTCCCAAAGTGGGACAGGATCAGGGAGCTGCTGATCACCACCAGTTCACCACTGATCCTGGAGTCTCCAGCATGTGGGTCTCTAAAAATGCTAAAGTAATTGCAAATTGGGTTTAATGAGATTGTGGGGGCCATGCACCATAATATTCATCCAGATCTGGGTCCTGTTTGGTCTGAATCTGGTTCCCATTAGGATTCTTTCAAGGGTGCTCCTATATAAAGGTAAATTTCCACTCTTAAAAAATAAAACTGCTTCAAAGTAGAGATTAAACACTAAAAGGTGAATTTAGTGCATTTCCCATTTGACTGGAGAGTATCCTCCAGCTCCTCCTTCTGCTACTGCAGAGCTGGTGTGAAAAGGCACCTGGAGCAGTTCCCAGGCCCCTCTGATGGAGCAGCACCCTTGGGAAGGGGATCCTGGCTCAGGGCTCTGCTCATTCACCATCTGCTGGTGCTGCCACCAGGGTGACTCTGTTTGAGACTGCCAAACTTGCTGAGATAAATCTGAGGTACAACAGTCCCCTTCTCCCCAGCCAAAACCCATAAATTCCCTCCTCCTCCTCCATAACTGTTGTCAAACCTTTGTCACCACCCCTCCCTGCCGCTGTCCCAATTCCTTCAAAAATTCTGAAGCACAATTTTACCTTTGAACTGAGGGAAAAATGTAATCCTGCAATAGACTTGGTTATTTTTAGCCCTAACACATAGAACTATTAAAATGCTCTGGGTTTGATTGTTGGCTTCACGGTGCAGAAGTCTCCCCTTGGACTAATGACATTGTGTATTTCCTGATATTTCAAAGGAAAAATATTTTTTGTAAGTTATTTTCTCCCACTGTATATCAGAACCTTTGGGGAAAAGTCTCATTCTTTAGCTCCCAGCCGCAGAAGCCTTTACAAAAATGTTCCTTTTAGATGCAATGGCTGAAGCACCACTTGGAAAGAAAGTGTTGGATGCTGCTGGCTGCTCTGTGGGAACAGGTATTGTTACCTTGGATTAAAACTCTGCACTCAAGTAGATTTATTCTCTTACTGTACTGGCCTTCCAAGCTCCCTTCAGTCTGCAAACCCTCCAGTGGAAAGAGACATTTCTCAAGGACTACCAAGTTCTCATAGCATTGAAATAGTTTCCAGCTGATGTCCTCTCCGAGCTGCATGTTTTGGTTCACTGATCTGAATTCCAGTCCCTGCCGGGTTCCAACTTTCCCTCCTTGGAAGGAAACATTAACTTGCAGAAAAATGCAAAGGATGGAGTGCTGAACACAGCCCTGCACATTTGCTCTGCCCACAGGAGCCCTCTCAGCTGTCCCAGAGCTGCTGTGGCCCTGGGGAGCAGAGACAGACCTGGCCAGGATGGAGTGTGTTCCAGCTGCACTGTCTGTTCTCAGTTTTAAACAAACTGTATTTAAATTTGTTAAATAAAATGATGGTTTCTAAGAGCCAGAATAGCCTGTGCCTCCCTTACAGACACAGTCTGGTGTTTCTCCTGGTACTGGCACAGAAAGCAGAGACTCCTTGGAGGTTCTGAAGGATTCACAGCTCAGGTTTGATCTCCCCCTCTCCCCAAGGAGGCTGCAGCTCCTCTGTGCCTGGAGCTGCTGCGTTAAAACAATGTCATGTTTACCTAAATCCCACGTTTCTGTTTAGAGGGACAAAAAGAAAGAAAAACCAGGACCCAAGATCCCACAGCAGCTTTAAGGAGGAAGCAGGGATGAGTTTTCCCACTTGCTTCTACCCCAGCCAAAATCTGATCCCTGCTCATTTTCCAAGGGGGAATTTCATCTTTAGGTGCTTCACAGTGTGAGCTCTGCTGGAGAGGGCACTGCAGGACTCACTTGTTCTTTTCTCATTCCTGCCTGGCCTGAAACATCATGATACATTTGATAAAAGACAAAACACATCTCACTTTTTAAACTTTTTCTTTTTTTCCTTTTGAGAGAGAGACAACCTCCATAATAAAACTCAGTGGAAAAAAAGCTGAAATTAAAAGTCATTTGACAACCACCTTGCCTTCCAACAAGGGAACACGTAATGGCCTTTTTGCAGAGAGACTTGCTAAAATCTGCCTCCAAATGGTTTCCCACACCTGATTACTCACATGTTCACCAACTATTTTCTCCCTACCTAATTATAAAAACGAGGAGGCCAAGGATAGCACAGTTTGAAAGTCCCTGGAAAGCTGAGCTCAGCTTCCAGTTCAGATGGCTTCAGTTCTTTCTCTCTCTCTCTCACCTGCCTCCAGCACCTTTTTACTCCCCCACATCCACCAGATGGTTCAGAACATGCTCAGCCATCCGGGCTGGGGGCCTCAGCAGGGCAGGGGAGGAGCTCCATCCATCCATCCATCCATCCATGGAGCAAGGGCGCCGCTTCCTCGCTGTCTCTCCTCTGACCTCACTGCCAGAGGGCAAATCCTTCCCCTGGCTCTGGTGGAGATGAGCATGCCCAAGTGCTGAGCCAGCAGGTCCCCAGCCATGCAAGCAGGAGTGCTCAGGGTGAGCCAAACGTGGGAAAGGAGCTCCCAGCCCACTCTCAGTCCACGTACTGGGTCCGTCCCAGGTAGGGGATGTCCACGGACTGGATGATCCGGCCCGCTGTGCGCTCCTCAAAGATCACAATCTGCACAGGAGAGAGAAAACCCTTCTTGCAAAGCCTGAGGGGCTGCAAATATGCTTAGGAGAAGCACATTTGAAGCTCCATTTAAAGAGCTCAGTCAGTGTGGGTCTAACAGGGACTGAGGCTCTGCCTTGGGGATGAAGCAGCATCACATCAGGTTTGGGTTGATCTCCAACCTGGTGCAGAGCTGTGAAGTTCAGCTGCCATCCCTGTCAGCCTTTAATGGCTGTCAGAGCCAGCTTTGGAGCACTTTCCGTGGTTTTTAGAGATCTCAGGAGCCAGCACTGTCCTTCCCCTCTACTGCACTTTCAGCACTGTCCTTCCCCTCTACTGCACTGGCTTTCAGCTCAAGGATAATGGCTGTCCTGTGCGTGTCTGGCTCTTTGGGACAAGGATCCTTCACAACCCCAACAGGCACAGAGCAATCCCAGCAGGCTCTCACCTCATTGCCCCCTCTCCTTAGCCAGGGCCCAGGAAGGTAAAGAGTTTCCTGAGGTCCAATCTTCCAGTATCTTCCCAGGTTCTGACCATTGACAAACACCACTCCTTTCTCCCAGCCCTGGAATCGAGGCAGAACATGGAATTACTGATGCAGCTCTGCTGCCTCCTTTGCATCCCCACAGGAAACCAAATCTGCTTTCACACTTGTATTCTTTCCAGCCACTTTCTGCAGGTTTTCTGCTTGCTTTCCCTGTGCAAATCCCTGCAGCCAGGGACATTTAAACAAGCCCTGCTGAACAGGAGTTATCCTTAATGTGCTCATTAAAAGGATAAAGCTCTCAAAAATGTGCAATTTGTGACTTGTGCTTGTATAGGAAGTTTCTTCCCTTTGAACAGACGGGCCTTTATCCCTCCCCAAACATGGAATATCTGCCCTCACCTCTTTCCCAGGTGACAGAAAAACTGAATTGCTGCTGGCTGGCCTGATTTACAGCAAATAGAATTTCCCCAATACATAGAAAAGTGAGCAGAACAGTAAGGCTGGGCACAAGGTTGGCTCTAAGGGAGGGAAATCAGAGGAGGAGGTTTGATAATATTTAAAATCTCATCTGAAGTTCTATGCAGTCTCCCACAGAAGCATGACAGGAATGCTAACTCCCATGCCATGGCCACAAAGAAGTGACTCTTTCCATGTCACACTGAGGAGACAGGAATAAAACAAGGCCCTCCTTTATTTGCTGTGCCCATTACTCCCCTGCAACTAGCACACACCATTTACATTCAAGCAAAATAAGACTGAAGTGGTCACTGGCAGCTCTGCAGGGTCAGTTTTCTCACAGGACCTCTCCAGACCGAACAGATTTACCTGGAGGAGACCCTCAGAATAATCCCCTAAGAGAGAAGGGGAGGCTACAGACACACAGATCAGTCAGAGCTGTTGCACAAGTCTCTCTAACCAGTTTTTTTTTTTTTTAAATTTGACCAAGAAGAGCCAGGACTTGCCTGCAGCTTCAGGAAGGTGTCCTGTGGCTGCTGCTCTATCCACAGCCTCCCGCGGAAGAACGCCGGCCCCACGAAATAATCCGGGACTGAGCTCCAGCCAGACGCCTGCTGCAGGCTGCAAGAGAGGGACAGCTCACAGCCCACAGGGCCACCTGCCTGTGCCCAGCAGCCACAGCCCTGCCAGGCCCAGCTGGGCTGCAGAGGATCCCTGGGGCTGTCACCACCTCTGATGGCACCACTCCAATGGTTTTTACAAGAGCGTGTGGTGATGGGACAAAGGGGAAAGGGTTCAGGCTGGCAGAGAGCAGGCTGGGATTGGATATTGAGAAAGAATTCTTCCCTGTGAGGGTGTGAGGCCCTGGCAAAGGCTGCCCAGAGTTATCTGTGGCTGCCCCATCCCTGCAAGTGCCCAAGGCCAGGCTGGAGCACCCTGGGATGGTGGAAGGGGTCCCTGCCCATGGTGAGAGGATCTCAAAGGTCCCTTCCACCCAAACCACTCTGGGATAAAAGCTCTGCTTCACACGGACTGCTGAGGATCCTCCAGATCTGCCAGGGTGCTTGAAATGCCTGTGGCTTGCTAAAGGAGACTGCAGGACTGACAGGATTCAAAGCAGACACTCCTGCCACAGCTCCTGGTGAGCAACACAAACACATCCCTGCAGTGTGCAGTAACCAGGGGCATCTGACAGCATTTCTTACCTGGGGCAACAGTTTGGGAGCAGGGCAAAAGCAGAAGAGCAAATAAGGAGAGCAGAATCCCACAGAAGCCTTGAGCTGCTGTAAGAACATGTTCCCTGCAGCCCTTACAAACTGCAGCTCTTGGACTGGGGCAAGTTATTGATCCAGTGCAGCCTGGCTGCTACTGAATTATTCAACTAAAAGCCTGTGACAGCTCCTTTCACAACACTGCTCTCCCTCCTCCCTGAGGGGACTGGGAGCTGATTGTGTTTCAGTGCTGCTGGTCAGCAGCCAGGAGCTCAGGCTAGTGGTGACTAATCTTGCTTTTGTTTGGCCATGGCAGCTCACTTGCTTTAATGCTCCTCACTGGAAATATTCCTCTAACACCCTGCACTCCAAAAGGCTCTGAGCTACCCCATCAATAAGAATCCTTCAGGTAGCCCCTCAGCACCTGGTAAAACTGCCCTGAGGCATTTCAGAATGAATTTTCCCTTTTAAAAGCCTTTTTGGTTTAACGTGGCTTCTCTCTCTCCCTCCTACACAAAATGGGGCAGCTGTGATATCTTGGGGGATATAAGCACATAAGTTGCTTGCTGGTATTAAAAACATCACTGAAAAGAGTCTCTGGATGGTGGCCAGAGTCCATAGGGCATCTGCTGCCTGAAACATTTGCTGAGGTTTTCTCTGTGTGCTGACAGAGGCTCTTCAACATCCCCCTGCTAAATTTCCTCCCTCGAATTAAAGCAAAACAACATAAAAGAGAGGGAGCCATCTGGATTGTTAATGCACTATCAGTAGCTTTCTAGAATTAATCCATCCCTTGCCAGGCTGAATTACTAAATATATCAGCCAGATTGGTAATTTCCAGAAAAACCCAAAATTTCCAGCATGTGGGTGTGAGGGGATCCTTCCCTTTGGATAAGCCTGGATTTACCTACCTGATCTCACCCTGCTGCAAGGAAATCTTTAAACCCTGCACAGTGGGATTAGATTTCTCCTTAAATGATGGTTTGGATCAGCTGGCACCAGTTCCTGCACTATTTCAGGTAAAAGTATCAACAAAAGTATCAGAGCAAAAATCCACCTCCCCACTGTTACCTCATTTAGCTGCTCCCCATTAGACACTGCACTGCTGGAAAGCAGGTGGTTTGAATGAAGAAAAAAGGTTAAAATCCCACAAAAAAAGGACTTTGTGGGAAAAAAAAATAAAGGTTAAAAATCCCACAAACCTTTTCATGAAGGCAGGTTTCATCTCCAAGCTGTAAATCTTGAAGTTCCTCAAGGGGGTTTTATTCAAGAAGATGTCACCAATTAAGCCTGTGGGAGCAATGGGGGTAATGAGGAGTTGAGGAACAGCTAAAGCTGATGCATTTTGCTATTTGAATCTGAGGAACAGCAGGAGATGGAAAGCAGCCACGTTCTGCAATGGAATTAGAGTCCATATGGTCCCATTGCTCATGCAGCCTGAGTGGGGAGCATCTCCAAACTCTGCCCTCTCCATTCCCTCCTTTCCTCAGCTCCAACCCTCCCAGCAGAACCCCCCGGGATGTGCTGGGGCTTCTGGGGATGCTGGGGTTGGAGCTGACCATGCACAGAGTTTGTTTTAAAGCAGTCAGTCACTTTTTAAAGCAGTCAGTCACTTTTTAAAGCAGTCAGTCACTTCTCTGACAGGCACAGCAAAACACAACTGAGCCAGCACCAACGCCCAGGGCTGCTCCAGGGCTTTTCAGCCCAGGATTTTAAGGCACCTGTAAAAGTCATTCACCTTTAGCAGCTTTTTGTTGAAGGCAAAGGCTGCTCCTAATCACAGCTCTGAGGTTTATGCAACGTTTCTGCTTTAAATAAAATCGATACAGTCACGTGCCTAACTCCATTAATCCATTTTATAGAGCTTTTTGCACATAGTTCCCCACTAAAATAGAATCAACCCCTTCCAGCCCCACCACTGTGTGTGATAGGCTTGAGCATTTCAGTCAATTCTGCTCCAGGGGATGCAGTTCCCTCCTCCTGACATTGTGTGAGCTTTTAAATGGTGTGATTCTCAAAGATCAACCTCTCCAGGGAAAACACAGATTAAAAAAAGGTATTTTCCTTCCCTCCCTGTGAAGTGATATGCTCAGAGAGCAAGAGAAAGGGAGCTGAGAATCACCTAGGAAACCCAGAGCAGAGCAAAGAGTCATTGATAGCCTGGGTTTAGCTGTACCCTTATAAAATAAACCCTGGTGCACTGAGCAGCCACTGCTGCTCCTCTGAGCACTGCAGGCAGGGGGGAGGATGATTTTTAAAATTCCCACTGAGTTGTAGCCCAGCTCCCCCACATACACAGTGTTAACAAACACCTGCAGAACAGAGCACAGGAGAGCAGAGCTCATCACTGATGTCACAGTCACATCCCTCAGCTGGGTTTGGGCAGGAAATTGTCTCTGCTTGAACCTAGAACTCTCAAGTGTCCATAATTGTCAGCACAGGTGGAATAAAATAATCAAAATATTCTCAGGACATTCAACATTCTGATAAGTCTGTTTAAATGTAAGTTCTGCTTTAATTCTGTTTAAATATAAATATTTAGCAAAGTGGAACTGGAAATTAGCAACTGAAGTTGTTCTGATGAGCAGAGCTCATCACTGATGTCACAATCACATCCCTCAGCTGGGTTTGGGCAGGAAATTGTCTCTGCTTGAACCTAGAACTCAAGTGTCCATAATTGTCAGCACAGGTGGAATAAAATAATCAAAATATTCTCAGGACATTCAACATTCTGATAAGTCTGTTTAAATGTAAGTTCTGCTTTAATTCTGTTTAAATATAAATATTTAGCAAAGTGGAACTGGAAATTAGCAACTGAAGTTGTTCTGATGAGCAGAGCTCATCAGTGATGTCACAATCACATCCCTCAGATGGGTTTGGGCAGGAAATTGTCTCTGAACCTAGAACTCAGGTGTCCATAACTGTGCCACTGTCAGTGCAGGTGGGAATAAAATATTCAAAATATTCCCAGGACATTCAACATTCTGATATTACAGGTTTTAGTAAAGTGGAACTGGAAATTAGCAACTGAAGTTGCTCTGATGAGTAGAGCTCATCACTGATGTCACAATCACATCCCTCAGCTGGGTTTGGGCAGGAAATTGTCTTTGATTGAACCTAGAACTCAGGTGTCCATAACTGTGCCACTGTCAGCAAAGGTGGGAATAAAATATTCAAAATATTCTCAGGACATTCAACATTCAGATGTTTAAAAATGTTACAGGTTTTCGTAAAGTAGAACTAGAAATTAGCAACTGAAGTTGCTCTGATGAGCAGAGCTCACCACTGATGTCACAATCCCATCCCTCAGCTGGGTTTGGGCAGGAATTGTCTCTGATCCAGACCCACCTTTCCTCTGCTCGTTCAGTGCTGGCCCATAATTGACTCGGCCCCGGTTCTCCACCAGCAGCCTCAGCTGCCTGAAGCCCTGCTGGAAAGGGAAAAGGACAAACATCAGCTGCACCAGCCCTGCCCTCAGCTCAGGTGCTGAGGGGGGAAATGGCACCACCTTTGGCAGCTGCCATTTATAAATTTACTCTCAAGTTCTCTGTTATTGCTGCTGCTGCTTTTTAATGAAGCAATGAGACTATCTTGGGTTAAAAATTTATTGTTTAGATAAACATCAGTCTCAGAGGCTGTGAGATTCTAAAGGAGTAAGCAGCTGGCTATGAAGCAATCACAAGTTCTTTGTTACAAGACAATACATAACTTACTAATCTAATGGACAGATTTTGCTTTACTAATTTATCACCTTTCCTTTTATTTTGCTTTACTAACATCACCTTTCCTTACTTCTACTGCACTATGGATGCTTTTACTTAATAGGCTGCTGTCCTACATGCACACATATGCTTCTGTTATAACTCTTAGCTTATTCTATACAACCACACCCTACATTTTAAACCCTTCCCCATATTATCAATAGTTTCCTACATTATAAACCCTTCACCATTTTATCAATAGTTTCCTATTTTATAAACTCTTCACCATCTTATCAATAGTTTCCTCCTTCACAATTTTATCAAGTTTCCTACATTTTAAACCCTTCACCATCTTATCAGTTTCCTACATTTTCAACCCTTCACCATCTTATCAACAGTTTCTTACATTTTAAACTCTTCAGCATCTTATCAATACAGTTTCCTACACTATAAACCCTTCACCATTTTATCAAGTTTCCTACACTATAAACCCTTCAAAATCAAACAGTTTCCTACATTATAAACCCTTCACCATTTTATCAATAGTTTCCTATTTTATAAACCCTTCACCATCTTATCAATAATTTCCTCCTTCACAATTTTATCAAGTTTCCTACATTTTAAACCCTTCACCATCTTATCAATAGTTTCTTACATTTTAAAGTCTTCAGCATCTTATCAATACAGTTTCCTACATTTTAAACCCTTCACCATTTTATCAATAGTTTCCTATTTTATAAACCCTTCACCATATTATCAATCATTTCCTACATTTTAAACCCTTCACAATTTTATCAAGTTTCCTACATTTTAAACCCTTCACCATCTTATCAATAGTTTCTTACATTTTAAACTCTTCAGCATCTTATCAATACAGTTTCCTACATTTTAAACTCTTCAGCATCTTATCAATACAGTTTCCTACACTATAAACCCTTCACCATTTTATCAAGTTTCCTACACTATAAACCCTTCAAAATCAAACAGTTTCCTACATTTTAAACCCTTCACCATTTTATCAATAGTTTCCTACATTATAAACCCTTCACCATCTTATCAATAGTTTCTTACATTTTAAACTCTTCAGCATCTTATCAATACAGTTTCCTACATTTTAAACTTCACTATTTTATCAGTAGTTTCCTACACTATAAACCCTTCACCATCTCATCAATTTCCTATATTATGAACCCTTCACCATTTTATCAATAGCTTCCTACACTATAAACCCTTCACCATCTTACCCAATGCAGTTTCTCACTTACTTAAGGCACATTCTTACTTACAACTATAGAAACAAAAGTTCATGATTTTTCTACTTAATATCCGTGTAATTTATTTTTACATCAATCAAGGCTGCAGAGCAAACCTTGCTGTATCTGTAGAAGTTTCTGTCTTTCCCTTTCCCACAGTTCTCTACTGCAAACAGTGAGGAACTCACAGCCTTTGCACAGATTTCTGAGTTGTTTTGTTTGGGTTTTTTTTTATCTTGAATTTTTAATTCCCATTTTAACAGCACCCACAGAGGCAGAAATGGAGTTTGACACAGGATAGACTCTGTGCCATAAACTCTCCCACAAGCCCTAAGAACAACAGAGCACCCTGAGCTGCTCCCACAGCCACACAGCTCTGCAGAAATGTGCTCAATCAATACAGAGTCCTTAGTGCCAGCTTCTGCCAGGGTAAAACTGCTCTCAGAGCTGAAGAGAGACATTCCTCCTCATTTAATTTGAGACCCAAGAGCCTCCAAAGCCCCTTAAAACCTGCTTTGTGCTAAGGAAGAAGCAGCCTGCAGAGATTTAATCTGCAATAACAGGGTACAGGTGCTCAGTGTTGTGGCTGTGTAAGAAGGCTGGCAAATTTTCTGCAGCAAGGGCTGCAATAACTTCAATTTTCTTCATGGAAAAGCATTCAGACCCCACTTTTCAATCACCAATGGTAACCTGGCAGTGAAATCCCATTATTTGTGTCTGATTAGGGTACCAAGCTAGTCTGGGGTAGAGGTGGTGCCTTTCTGAGCTTTGTCCCTCTTCAGTGATCTTGTTACCCACACCCTGAGCAGTCCCCTGGAGTTACCTGTCCCTCAGGAATGGAGAGCTCCACTGAGTTGTAGTCCAGCTCCCCCACATACACAGTGTTCACAAACACCTGCAGAACAGAGCACAGGAGAGCAGAGCTCATCACTGATGGCACAGTCACATCCTCAGATGGGCTTGGGCAGGAAATTGTCTCTGCTTCAACCTAAAACTCAAATGTCCATAACTGTGTCACTGTCAGGCGGGAATCAAATAATCAAAATATTCTCAGGGCATTCAACATTCTGATGTTTAAAGATGTTACAGGTTTTACAAAGTGGAAGTGGAAATTAGCAGCTGGAAGTTGCTCTGAGGAACAGAGCAACTGCTCATCACTGATGTCAGAATTACATCCCTCCAGCTGGATTGGGGCAGGAAATTGTCTCTGCTTCAACCTAAAACTCAAATGTCCATAACTGTGTCACTGTCAGGTGGGAATAAAATAATCAAAATATTCTCAGAATATTCAACATTCTGATGGTCAAATATGTTATAAGTTTTAGCAAAGTGAAACTGGAAATTTAATTAGATGCTATAAGGGTTTAGGGCTTAGCAAAGAAGTGGAAATTCAGGTTTTCTCCCCATTTGCTGCTTCCACCCATCCTGAGTTAGCCCTGTGCCCCTACCTAAGCATCATCCTAAATGTGCCACTGTCAGTGAAGGTGGGAATAAAATAATAAAAATATTCTCAGAATATTCAGCATTCTGATGTTTAAATATAAGATTTAGCAAAGTGGAACTATAAATTAGCAACTGAAAGTTGCTCTGATCAGCAGAGCAACTGCTCATCACTGATGTCAGAATTACATCCCTCAGATGGGTTTGGGCAGGAAATTGTCTCTGCTTCAAACTACAACTCAAGTGTCCATAATTGCCAGCAGAGGTGGGAATAAAATAATCCAAATATTCTCAGGACATCCAACATTCTGATGTTTAAAGATGTTCTAAGTTTTAGCAACTCAAATGTCCATAACTGTGTCACTGTGTCATGTCAGATAGGAATAAAATTATCAAAATATTCTCAGGACATCCAACATTCTGATGTTTAAAGATGTTACAGGTTTTAGCAAAGTGGAACTGGAGATTTAATTAGAAATTATAAGGGTTTGGGGCTTAGCTGAGAAGTGCAAATTTGATGTTTTGTCCCCATTTGCTGCCTCACCCACCCTGAGTGAGCCCTGTGCCCCTACCTGTGCCCGTGTGGGAATAAAATAATCAAAATATTCTCAGGACATCCAACATTCTGTTGTTTACATGTTACAAGTTTTAGCAAAGTGGGACTGGAAATTTAATTCGAAGCTGGGAGGGTTTTTTGCTTAGCTGAGCAGTGGAAATGTGATGTTTTCCCTCATGAGTGAGCCCTGTGCCCTACCTGAGCCCGGTCCCGGACGTGGTCCCGGCTGTGCAGGTGTCCCCCCCCAAAAATGACAGTCTCATAGAGCACATATCCATAGGGCTGCCCAATGCTGTCGTTCAGGGGCAGATTCTCCATGTTCACAGGGAACTCTGACTTGATGGGCTGCAGGGGAGAAGCAAATTCAGCATCAGGAGTGGAAATTCTTGTAGGGGCAGCTCATTTACAGCTTCAGTCTGCCACAGGTGGGAGCCTCCAAACTCTGCTTCAACCCAAAATCCCTCCTGAGGAAAGGACCAGAAAAAGGAGCCAAAGATTTGCAAAAGTGCAATTCCAAGAGAGCAGAAGGAGCAGTGAAAAAAGGGAGATAAAATTCAACATCAGGAGTGAAAATTCTTGTAGGGGCAGCTCATTTACAGCTTCAGTCTGCCACACGTGAGAGCCTCCAAACTCTGCTCCAACCCAAAATCCCTCCTGACCAAAGTATAAAAAGGAGTCAAAGATTTGGAAAAGTGCAATTCCAAGAGAACAGAAGGAGCAGTGAAAAAAGGGAGATAAATTTCAACATCAGGAGTGGAAATTCTTGTAGGGGCAGCTCATTTACAGCTTCAGTCTGCCACAGGTGAGAGCCTCCCAGCACTGCTCCAACCCAAAATCCCTCCTGACCAAAGTATCATAAAATGGAGCCAAAGATTTGCAAAAGTGCAATTCCAAGAGAACAGAAGGAGCAGTGAAAAAAGGAAGATAAAATTCAACATCAGGAGTGGAAATTCTTGTAGGGGCAGCTCATTTACAGCTTTACTCTGCCACAGGTGAGAGCCTCCAACCTCTGCTCCAACCCAAAATTCCTCCTGACCAAAGGACCAGAAAAAGGAGCCAAAGATTTGCAAAAGTGCAATTCCAAGAGAAGGAGCAGTGAAAAAAGGGAGATAAAATTCAACATCAGGAGTGGAAATTCCTGTAGGGGCAGCTCATTTACAGCTTCAGTCTGCCACAGGTGGGAGAGAGCCTCCAAACTCTGCTCCAACCCAAAATCCCTCCTGACCAAAGTATCATAAAAAGGAGCCAAAGATTTGCAAAAGTGCAATTCCAAGAGAAGGAGCAGTGAAAAAGCTGAGATAAAAGATTTGCTGCTTTTGCACATCCTTGGT